TATCTTGCTTAAGAATATATTAGGCACTTGGTTGTGAAAGTTATATTGAAAATTACAACAAACAAAGGTCTTGACAATTCTAATAAAATCATTGATAAATTCCAATCAAATCTTAACAATCCTAATCATATCTTAATAAATTTTAAAGAAATCTTATAAAAACTTTAAAAAGAATCATAAAGAAATCCTTAAAAAATCATTAAATTTTTTGAAAATACTAAATAAATATAAATAAACTTATAAAAATATAAAAATAGAAATATTTCAAACATAATATAAATAATAAAAGAAATAATTTTAAAATCTTAAATAAATCCTAATCAAATCTTAATCAAATTCTAATCAAATCTTAACCAAATTCTAAGTAAATCTTAATCAAATCCCTATAGCATTCTTAAAACTTCAATAACTATTGATCAAATTATTGAACTTAACTAAAAACATTTATACATTTCAATATTTAAGCAAGTAGCAAGTACAAATTTTTTTTCAAATATTAAATTTACCAAGTGGAAAAAAGAGCTCCTAATTTGCTTACATATTCACTGTTATCTTCTCCAACCTTGCAGTTAATTTTCTAGCAATAATAACTCTTTCTTAAATAGTTAACTTATTCTCTAAATTTAAAAATGGCCTTAATTTGTGTTGACAACCAATCTCTTACTATATTGCAAAGATTATCCTCCACCCTTTGAAATGTAGTTACATTCAAAATACAAATCCATTTGATAGTATCTAATATTAAAATAGGCTAAAAATCCTTATTAATATTTATTACTTCCTTGAAGTCTTTGATGTCATTACTATCCAAGTAGTGTAGTAAAAGAAATCAATAATATTGATTCTTAATATATACCATAAAAATACTACTTGAGTTTTTATAACTATCTTAAGGCTTAAGAACAATCTACACCTAAAACCACCACCAATCTTTGCACTTTACTTATAATCACGTATACATCACCACATGGTCAATAAGCCAATAAAAAAAATGAACTTGCCAGCCATCAACCCAACTTTATTCCTATAATATGCCTATTGACATAAACTAGTACAATATAAAATGGGACAATATCAAAAAGCCTTCAGCAATAATACCTTTAATTAAGATAAGATACCAAAGGCAAAAACTAACAATCAATAATGGATACTCTTTTCTAACATTATATAAGCAAAAATCAGAAGTGAACCAATCAATTGACACCTGCTTGCAATTGCTGGTCAAAAATCAAAAAAATTATGATAATTAAATAATATTTTAACTAAAAATTCTAAAATGTCAATCTAATAAGATTGATCAGATGCACATTAAAGATTTTATTGATTAAAATAAGATTTTATTTTTTATAATTTTTATATATGGTTAGAAAGTACACATTCAAATGTCTTTTAATTGATCATTATAAGATTCTATCTAGAATTTATTATTATTAGAATAATCTTTTTAAATTATTAATATTAATTTATTCTATCATTATCTAAATATTATGTATATTTTTCAAAATTTTCTATTAAAATATTAAAATAAAATTACTTTAAATAAAAATAACTCTTTTATAAAAACTTCTAAATAAAAATATATGTTAATTATTTCTTTTTTAACACTATATTTATTACTTATACTTGGTGTATATTTAAATATTTTTAAATTTATTTGTATTATAAAATTTTATATCTTTATTTCATAAGTATTTTTAAGTACATTAAAAACCTTATTATTTTTTTATAATATCTTAAATTTTCTAATTCAATCTTAATTTTTTAAAATAAATTGATAATAAATACTAATATTATTACTATATAAATGATGCTTTATATTTTTGAAAAATAAAATGCATCTTTAGTTGTCACATATAGTTAGAATTTTATTTAATTAGACTTTTATCTATGTATACAAGTCAAAAAATTTCTAAAAGTTAGCATAGCCAAACCATCTATATTGTAAATTATTTTTCTATGGCATACTTTGTCTTAATTATAATATAAAACTATTAAATTATTAAGCTTCTATTAAATAAATATTATTATTAAATAAAATAATAAAATAATAAAATAATATATATAACAATAAATAATAAAATTATTTGATATATAATTATTTTTAGCATAATCAAATCAATTTATATTAAAATAGATTTTGAATTTAATGTTTTTGCTACCAAGGCACAATTTAGAATTTAATGTATTTATTAAGAATTTTATAACTATATTTATTTGAATTCAATATAAAAAATAATGATAATAATAATAATAATAATAATAATAATGCACAAGATTTATTACATATATAAGATCCATTCTTATATCCATTTTTGCATATAGAACGGACCTTACTTGATTCTTTATTGTATTGCACTTAGTAAAATTTCTAACAAATTTAATCCAAAGCTTACTTGTATTGTATATTTTTTAGATTCGGTCTTCATCTATTATAACATCTCAAATTTGATTGATCAAGTCATATACAAATAGAATCATAACTAGCAAAAATAAATTTTAACTACATTATATATATATATATATATATATATATATATATTTTTAATCTTATAGAAAAATCTTGATATGTAGTGATATTATTGCAAGTAGATACTTTATTTTAAATATTTTATTTGAATTTAATATATAAAAAGCTTTAACAATAGTAAAATAATACAATATTATATATAAAAGAAAGAATCATTTTATTTTGATCCTTATTAGAGATTTTTTAGCATTCTAATTTTGATTTTTAAAAAAATCATAATTTTTTATTTTTAAATATTTTTTTATAATATTCTTATTTTTTATTTTTAATTAATTTTAATTTCTAATTTATTTTTTAATTATATATAATTATATTATTTATTAAAAACTTCTTACAAATTCATACCCTTAAAAAATTGTACTCTAGAATTACCAATAAGCATGAATAGCTTTGATGCAATATATGACAAGAATATAATAAATTTTTAGAATTTTATATTTATATATAAATTAAAATAATAATTTCATAGCTGAAGCTATTTTCTTGCATTGAATGTATGTATATGTATATATGTATTTTTTTATCTTTCTTAGTTTTAGTTTTAGTTTTTATGATAGACACCATGATCTTTTTAAATAAAATTCTATTAATAATAACCAAATGTTAGATTTGATTATACATTGTATTAAAAAATTTCATTAATCCATTTATTTAACACATGGATTCAATAAAGAAAGTCAAAAGGTTGGAAGTGGTAATCGACCAATATCTAGATTGGTTCTATAATATTTGATGTTGATCAATGGACTATTTTGCAATGCAAGCATTCCACTTTAACTACCAGATTCTTGGTTTGTTTTTATTACTATTGTAGTCATTTCTGTTTTTTATAATACTCTATTGCCAATTCAATATTTTTGGTCTTACAGAATGTTAACGTTTTAAGAAAATATATTATGCAATGCTTGAAATGAACTTTGTTCCATATGTTACAATAACTATGGTAAGTACTATGATCTGAATCTTGAAAACATTTTACAGAGCCAAGTTGTGATTGTTAATGCACTCTACAACAATATACATATTTTTAATACCTTTTTTTTGAGTACATTACAATATCCTTTACAATTCTACTACACCATTTACAATTGTTTAGCACACACTTGATATATTATTAATAACATCTAAAACCTATCAAAAATTTATTACAAAAAAAACTTATCATAAATTAGGATTTAAAAAGACCCAACCAATACCAGAATACTAGCAAAATATTTTAGTAATAATAATATATTTAACAATTTAGTTTTTTTAGATAATAATAATTACAAGATATTTTTATTTTGTTAAAAACAGATTAAGTCATCTTTGTTCAAAAATGTTTACTTTGAGTAGGCTTAAGCAGTCTTGTTGTTTTACATGCATACACAAAGAATAGATATAAAAGCTTCGACTAACTTTTTTGTCGCCTGAAAATACTCTGTACATATAATTATATTATTAATTAGAAATTAATAAAAATTACAGTGGTAATTGAACTATTATTATTATTATTCTGATGTACCTTTCTTTGTAGAATCGATTGAGCCATTGACTTTAGGATGTCAAAATAAATTTAAAAGATACTCAAAATTTCATATATTTTTTAGTTTTAGTATTTCCTATTTTATTAATATCAATTAGTAATTTTTCTTAACTACCAAATGATTTAATAAAATTTAAAGATTTTTTTGTGTCTCATTAAAACCACTTATTTCACCCAAGTTTCTTATAATTATTCTTTAAGACTTACATGAAAAGCCAGATTTAAGTTTTTCTACAAAATTTTACTACTGCCCATTCACGTAACCAAAAGAAGCCACCTTCAAGCCGTTTTTTCATCCAATTTGATGTCGAATTTTATCCTTCCATTAAATGTTGCACCGACATGTGCCAACACAACCACCCTAATTGACTCATTCTTTGATCTTTTGTGTTTTCTGGTACCGAAAAGTTTTGGTTATTTAAGATTAATTCCTAAAAACTTTATTTCGGTCCTAATTGGATCCCAGTTGTATTCTATGATCTAAATTTATGTCAACCTATTTTCTAATAATGATTTCTAATGACAAGACTTTTGCACTTTCGTACTTTTGTAATAAATTGCATAAAGGTGAAAGATACCAATGACTTTTTTGAAGTTATAATTTTTAAAAGTCAATTCATCATTACATCAATCTAATCAATATTCGTCTTCTTCAATATTAACACACAACAGTTTAAGAGACATAGTCGGATACCTAAACAGAATACATAATGTTATAATTACAACTTAAAATTCTTGCAATAAATTATTTATAAGAATGATAATGAATGTTGTGCACAACACCAACTTAAGACTATGTGTTTTGTAGTACATTGCCAACTACAACCATTGATTTCAACAATTCTTTAGAACATGTACACTTAACGTACAGAATCAAAAAGCTTCGACTTTGCTTACCTCATTAAGTTGCGCCTGAAAGTGAAATAAATGCAAAATAATCTAAATCACTTGCGATTCATAGGATGGCAATATTGAAGGCAATAATTGAAGGCAATACAGGTAGTGCACTTGGTGCTTCAAATATACAAATGCTCTATGCTTGAATCCTGAGCAGTAGGGTACAAATACTTCGTCTCATTCTGAGACTGAAATACCGTTGAAATTGCAGTTAAGAAGGGTAGTCGAAGCATTATTCCGGGAACCAGTAGCAACAGCTGCTCAAAATCAACAATCCCCTTCTATGTGAACTGGTTGTTTCAAGAGATTGATGCTCAGGAGGGTTGAAAGAGAACGTTGATGTAAAAGACGAGCCAGCCTGCCATTGAGAAAACTGCAAGTATGTGCTCGTAGAAGAGAATGGCGGATGCTTCTTTTTCAGCATGGCCACGCAAGTTGGTCACAGCCCCTGCAAGACAAGCAAGTCAGCTTCTGAAGAAAGTACGGGATACAACTCTAAAAATGTCCTTCTCAGTGGAAGCTTTGTAAATGTTCTTCACAATCGTGAAATGAGAAATAACTGGAATGGGGCTCAATGAGGAGAAACTACCAGCCAGTATAGAGCTGGGCATTGTGTGCTGGAGCAGCAAGACAAATTTGAAAATAAGGTTACCCACTGGAAGGAACCCCATTTTCTCAGCTGTGAGAACCACAGCTACTCCTATGAGTGGTATTATGAGGAGCCGCGTAGCGACGATGGCTACGGTTGTGCGTAGTCCAAGCTTTGAAGCCCCCGCCCCTATCACAAGAGTCACAAATTGCTTGTATGAATATTGAAGGTCTTGTGCAAGTGGAGAAACGACATGCAGTGACATATCGAACACATATAGTGAAACAAGCGCATTGGAAATAAAATATTAAACAAGCTGAATAGAAGTACCTCCCACCAAATTGCCACCCAACACAAGCATGATGCACGGTATTGTTGCATCTCTGCAAAATCCATTTCAAAGAGAACATTAAAAGATTGTTCATTTTGACTGTGTGTGTATATATATATATATATATATATATATGTGTGTGTGTGTGTGTGTGTGTGTGTGTGTGTGCTAAAAATAAAATAAAAATGATTTTTAAAAAGAAAACAAAACATAATAAAAAGAAATTTCATGACCAAACCACTGCTTGAACTGTATGAATGACTATCTTGAATAGACAGGTAATATGTGGCACCAACCCAAGGATGTTGAGGCTGTCAAAAAAGAAATACAGAAAAGAGTGCTCGGTGAAGATAAAGCCTCTCAACAATGGTACGCATCCAAATAAAAGACCTAGAAGCTGCAGTATAAGACAAAACAAAATCACAACCAAGTTAGCAATGAATTATCAAGCTCGCACTGATCTAGGACTTCAGAGACAACTCGACAAGTTTCTCTGGCCATTTACACCAACACAGATTGAACGCACAAACAAATGAGAAAGTGACTGTTCAAATATTCCATGATACTTACAGAGGCTACAACAGGAGGCTGAAAGATGTCTCGGATTCTTCCATGTGATAGCAACGTCTTCAGCAGCTTCCAGCCCTACACACAGCAAATGATACTCTCAAGTTATTCTTGCTTGCAACGCTGCTTGGCTTCAAGTTTTATGCATCCTCCAACCGACGTAAATATGAAAATAACTTTCAAAAACAGAACATGTCAGTGTCACACCTGAGGTTTTGGGGGAGGAGCGTCATTTGCGATAAGCAAAGCCACGGAATCTGTACTCTCATGGGAAACCGAAATCACTTCATTCGTTTCCTGAGATTCATTAGCCACCACGATCTCGGGTGACATGGAGCCGCCAAGCTCCTTAGGCTTTAAAGGTGGTGCTAACATGCTGTAGACATATGTATACACAATAACAGCCCCCACCTGCGTAGAATTAAAACTCAAGGTAAATCCCCCTTGTGCGTTTCTCTTGTAAAAAATATTGAAAATTGGAAAGGAGGAGGTTGAGGTACAGTTAGAAGTCTTTTCAAGCTGTGGTTGTGCGATAGAAGTAATCGCACCCATTGACCAAAGGAAATATAAGCCACGCCATTTGCGTTGCACGTTTCAGGATGCTCAAATGGGTTGCCCTTTTCTCGACAAATGGCACCTATGATTACAAGCGGAATATTTCCAATGTTCCCTATTTCCCCAATGCATTAAAAAATCCACCAATTAGGGAGGAACAAAAACATATTCATTAATAATAAAATAAAATAATAAAAAAAAATATTGAAATTTGTTAGTAAACCCTGAAAAGCAAGAGATCTAAAAAAATATTAAAACGATACATCATTTCGTAACTTACAAGCACATGAAAGAGAATTGCACACTCTCGACTAGTAATGAAATCCAGCTGTAGAGTTGAAAACGGAAGGAGGAAGTACCGATTCCTATCATGACGACAGTAAAGTTGAAAAACTCGGGAGGTGGCTTGACCATGTATGCTACAGCATAGCCCACAATGCAGCCCAAAGTAGATGCCAGCACAATATTCACAGGAATGAACCACCTGGCAGAGATCACCCAGAGAAAAGTTATTATGCAGTGAGCCAATCCCATTCTCTTGTTGGCGGAGACAAATCAATTATAATTTCCCATAACACATTAATCAAAATACGAGAAAAAGCAAAGTGGCAAATAATTCACCAACATTCTCAGATTACAAGATACGCAACCTAGCACGTTCATCAATTAGAAAATTATTGCACGCACGGGAGTTTAATGATCGAGAGGGATACTAATAATAACAGATGTCTCACCATTCGAAAATCTTCTCGATTGTTACGGCTTTCCCTAATTGAGTGAAAATCAAGCAGGGAAGAAAAAGAGAAAACACTAGCTGCAATATATACACACGACATCGTCTTATTCAGAAGCTTCCCGACAGAGACGATACTTTCCCTCATTTAAGCAGAGAAGGGGAAAGCAAACGAACACAAACAAAACTAGAGGAAACCATGAGTTAGAGATGTAGTCAGAAATGAGTAGAAATTTCACAAAATGGACTGCGAGGGGAGCACAACCTTGCTAAGCTGCTGGCGTGAGGGAGCAGGGAGGATGCCAATATAAGAGCTTGCTAGAAGCAAACCCAGAGCGCACATGACCAGCACCTTCGCGATAGGTAGAACAGCAAACTTCAGCAGAACAAATATACTATTGCCATTGAGCGGATCACCCACCCAAGGATCCATAGCTCCGCCTTCTCACTCCCACCGGGACTAACTGAAGAAATCGTCACCAACCCACAATCGCGTTTCCCCACCCAGTGCGCCGCTCTGCGCCTTTCATCAATCTCTCTCAAGATCGAGAGCAGGAGGCAGCGGAGAATTGCGCATCAAAAACACACCTAATACCCAATTCAGAGGAAATTCGAAGCATTCGCGACGAATACTGCATCTGCGTCGCTTCCACTTGGTTATCGAGCCACCAATCTTCTACCTTCTCAGAGATTCTACTTGTTGCCTCCAACCAAAACAACCACCAATAAATAAATAAAGAACCAAAACCAAAACCGAAACAACGACTAAATTTAAACCTCCACAAAACCTAGCATTAAGAAAAACAGGGTCCTCGATTAAACAACTGCAAGGTAAACAGATCCGCTTCCAAAAGTGAGCTTTCTCTGCACGATCTAATGCGAGTCGAAGCCCGATGCCTGAGCACCTAGATTCCTACAAAGTGCTCACGCAATTATGTCTGAGTCTGTATGTTTGTGTGGAGTGCATGTCTGTGTGTTACTTTTTCTTTTTTGTATTTTTTGTACTTGCTCCCCTGGATCTTTCGTCGCTTGTCGCCTACGGTATCACGGCAAATCCTTCAACACCCAAAACAACACAAATGACAACAAATTGTTTTAAGAAAAATAACAAAGATTTACTGTGGCCCGAACTAAACAGGAGAGACGACGACGACGATGACTGCAGGAGGGACATCAAAGGAGAGATTGGATGAATGAATTAATAATGGATGTATGAATGAATAAATGAACTTCACACAATTATTCAAATAATATGGTAAATTAAACCTTATTCAAATAATTTTGTCAACAAAACAAAGTGTGGTTTTAAAGAAAAGAAATTTATTGTTTCAATAATTCTTTACAATATAATAGAGAAAAATTACATAATTTTAATTTATTCTACAACCTCAATTTTCATTCAATAAAGTATGGCTTTAAAAAAAGAATAATTATTATTATAATAATTCTTTATAGTTTTCAAGTACATAAATTTCAAAAAACCAACATATCAATATACTCTTGTGTCACTCCAAAAATTTAGATAATCACTCAAAGGTGGTATAATATTAACCTATAATGGCTATTACTAAAGACAAGAAACTAAAGTCTCTTGAAATAAAACCAAGAATAAGCAAGGCATTGAGAAGAGTAAAGAAGGCTCTATTCTTGCCTCCAAATATATTATCCAACTAGAAGCTACGTAGCAACATTCTACAGGACCTCCAACACATGTTCAATTGGCAAGACATGAGTTTTAACTTGGAAGGCAAGTTTTCTATGTGCGCGCTACATTGTTTGCTTGTACTACAAGCTATCTATATATTGTCGTGTTGTGGTTCGGCTACCATGTGAAAATAATGTGATTATATATTTAATGTACAATTTATTTAGCAACATGGTGAGAGCCATGTTACTGGATTTTAGTTGGTTGTAGAGTAATGTTAAATTACTACTTTAAAAGGAAGTTGTTTAAAAGGATTACTATTAGAATTTGTATAACTTTATTTTCTTTTGATAGTGGCTTTTGAGATTGATTTTGTTGGTAGTAACTTTAAATATTTAGAGTCACCTTTATTAGACATTGGTGATCTTTGAAGTCTTATTTTGGTTCTTTAATTTGGTGTTTAGGGCATATATTGAGTAAATCTTGTAAAGAAAAGAGTTGGGGAGGGATTTTGGTAGTAAAAAGAGAATTTAGGACATCCATATAGATGAATAGAGATGGATGATGGAAATCTCCATTCCTATTGGTCAAAAATCATGACCAATGGGCTTCAAGGAGGTTGTCCGAGGCCATATTAGAGATTAGGGTTAGTTTTTTGAGGAATTCGAGCTTTGGAGGCTAAGGTCAGCAAATTTAGGTTTTTGGCTACGGTTTTGGTGCAAATTTTGAGTCATTTGGAGTTTATTTGAAAGAAATATGGGCGCTTAAAGTTAAGGTGTTGATTTTGTACTAACTGTCACTCTTTTGGAAATAACACATGCGTACAGAAAGTAAGAGAGGATCGACAACTAGAATTGGAGAGAGCACTTTCTCGGCTATATTTTACGCATACTGCTTGATGAATTCTGAGCTGAGATGAAGGAATTATTAGAAGTTGAAGTCAACATTTGAAATCTAAGGAGTTAAATATTATATTTTGAAGGGATTTTATTATAACTTGAGCATTTTATACAAAGTAAAGGAGCATTTTGGGGATCCAAGACTTTATAAATATATGTTGGAGATGGATATATGGAGCTATGGTTGAATTTTTGTATAAAGATGAATTTTTGAGAGGAGATTGTGGATTTCCTTTGAAGTTATTGAAAACCTAATCTACTAGCAAATGGTTAGCTATGATTTGGTATAGTCAAGAATATTAGAAAATTTCTAGATATTTTAGAAAGCCTTATGTACAAACCTTCTTAAATATAAAAGAATTTATTAGTACAATATCTTTTTGATATTATAATATTTATTTATCTTCTACTTTTAAGGTTAAATAATTTATTGGAGCTTGGCCAATAAGTTAAAACTAAACTCTCTACAACTAGGTACCCAGTGTATTCCCAAATAGAAAACCATGTAATACAACAACATGTGATACTCTACTAACTTATTAGTCAAGTTTTTAACCTATCAATGAATTATAAACATGTATAAACTTAAATACATGTCTATGAAGCTTCTAAAATGCTTCGCTATAAGATAATATCAAATCTACCTACATTTACCTTATATCTAGCACTTTTTATTTAGGTAAATATGTATATCTATGATATTACCTTCCCTTCTAGAAATAAATTCTATAAAGAGCCATCATCATGCCTTGTGAAAGTCCAAGATATGGCAAATTGTGTTTGCTACATACTTTGAGCTTATTTCCTTTAAAGATGGTTGATAAGTCTTCTCTACCATCGATAATGTTCAATTGTAAGGAAAAAAGACCACCCTATTATTTGGTTGTTGTTGAGGCCTTTGTAACTCCCTTCAAACAAAACATTTGTAAGACGAGCAAGAATTGTTCTTATATCTAATAAAATCACCAAACATTAAGAATCTCTTCTAAGCTCATAATATAAAATGCATTATATCTTCCCATTTATTTGACAAAGAACTTGTTCTTGAGGAATTTCATCTTGATTACATTGTCTTTAAGGTTGTGATAATTGTGATCTCTTGTCTAATAAATTAACAAATAATAATTTTTAAATTGAATCTACTAATTATTGGTTTTCTATCTCTTTAGTACCACAAATACTTAGAAAGTACAAAAAAAGATAGAAGGTAATATGCAATCTTTTTTTGAACTATATTTCTTTTATAATAAAGATTTATTATTCTTTATCTTGATTTTCATGGAAATTATTAATGAAAAGCATCAGCCTTCTTTGTTGCATTTATAAGATTTTTTATTGGCTCCCACATGCATTCATTTATATTATATTTGTGCCAATGAATAAGATATTTCAATCTATTTTAGTGCCACCTTAAGTCTAAGATTCTCACTTCAAACTCTTGATTTTCATCCACTTCTACAACAAGAAGTAGCATTTGTCTTTTTTTTCAGATATTCACTATTTTATACAATTGAAGAAAAGATACAAGAAATATAAGATGGATCTTTATAAACTCCGATAGATATAATCTATAAGAAATTGGATTGATTAATTAACAAATAATAAATGATAAAAACCTATAATAATCCAACTTGTCACAAGCATGGCTAGTCTTAATATTGCAATGAAGTAACCATACCTTCTTATCAACATAGAATTGAGATTGCTCCTCATAATAGGCATCCATGTTGGTCTTTTGTCATTCTTGAGTGTCTTTTAGTTATGCCTTCATTGTTGTATGTAACTTGCATAAATGATTTGCTAAATATTTTGTTGTAGGATTATTGACTTTTGAGAATTCAATAACATCAAATTGTAGATGATAACCATAACTAGTAAAGAAAGGTATTTATTCGATAGAAGAATGTATCACTTTATTATAAGCAAACTTTATGAATGACAAAAAAGCTATTCAATCATCTTCTTGGTAGTTGATTGTATACCTCAAATACTACTCAATTTGATTCATCCACTCTGTTTATTCATTAATTTAAAGATGAAAAGTCAAAGATAGCTTTATGATCATTTTTATAATCTTAAAAAGATTATCTAAAATCTTGATATAAATTAAGTCTCTATATCTAATATAATATCTTTAAGCAATTCATAATAGCAATAGATGTTGTCAAGAAAAAACTTAGTTGTTTCTTTACTAGTGATAGATTTTACATATGGTACAAAATGTGCCATCTTGATAAAATAATCTACTATCATAAAAATAAAATCATACAAACTTAAGATTAAAAGATCTATGATAAAATACATAGAAACAAATGATCATGGTTGTTTTGAATTAAATAATGGCTAAAAATGTCCATAAGATCAATAATGAGGAGTTTTTGATCTTGAACAAACGATACATGATTGTATAAATTCTTTGAATGTTTTCTATGCTTGAGGCCATTAAATGTTTTTGGACATTAGATCCAAAGTCGTATTGTATTCAAACTGTTTGGTTGTTGGAAAGTTGTGATGAGCTTAAACAATATGTAATTATATTTCATCTTCTAAAATATACATGCAACCTTTCAAATATAATAGATTATTTTTGAATTCAAATTTAGAAGTATCATGAAATTTAAAAGAATTATTTTTAATATTATAAATAAGAGAATCAAAGGACATATTCAATTGAACTTGCTTGAAATAGATTGAATCAGCAGTCAATGTTGATTTCATTGCTCAAAGATAAAAATATTTTAACTTTAAGAAAATTATTATTTATTGATCAAAAGTTCCTTCTCCCTCTTTGGATGCAGAATAAGAATATTTAAAAAAGGTGTTTGATAAATCTTGTTATTTTTTTAATGAAAAAATAATCATGAAATCAAATCTTGATAAAGTCATACTTCAACGGGCTTGGCAATGATTCAAAATACATATTGATATGAAATACTTAAGATTCTTATGATTTGTATACACAATGACTAGACTAAAAGCATCTTTTAAATAATGATGTCATTTTTGAAATGAATCTAAAATTATAAAAAGTTCTTTATTATGAATCTTATAATTAATCTTAATTGCTAAAAATTTCTCAAAATGCAAAGCTTAAATGTAGAGTTAATCATTTATTTCTATTTATAATAATATTGCATCCATAGCAAAGTCGGATGCATTTGTTTCTATGAAGAATGCTTTAAAAAAGTTGATATTATACAAGATTAGTCCAAAAATAAAAATTGTCTTTAAAGCTTCAAAAGATGATTCTGCTTCTTTGCTTTATTTAAGTTTGACTTTACAAGTTAAACATGTAAAAAGAGTACCAATTTGAAAAAAGTTTTTCATGACAATCTAATAATAATTAAAAAATTTAAAAAACATTATATATTTGTGACTATTTTTAGAATCTTCTAATTTATGATAGTCTAGACT